CCCCTTAGTCCTCAGATTAACCATCTTCAGGAATCTTCTGACTGTCGAATAGGCAAGGGGCTTCCATCAGCTGGTCTCATAGGATCAGAATTCCACACTGCCAGACTTCGTGGTCAGTGAATCACTGGCTTTTATCATCGTCCCTGTGAGGATGGGAAAGTCCCATGAGGTCAGAGCTATCTGCTTTCTTATCTCCAGACCTAGCTCCCCCGGGTGTTCCATGACTGCATCTTCCCTTGCACACACGTCAGTGGTGAGGTGAGCTGTGAAGAGAGAGAACTAGGGAGTATCAGAGGAAGCCTCCGGAATGGGGCTTGGGTACCTGGAGGGAGTGAGCCCTGGGGGTCTTGGAGAAGACCCTGGTGTCCACCAGCATGCAGGCCACAGTGTGAGGGCGTGTGAGAGAAAGAGGCTTTTGGCTCCCGGAGGAGCTTGAGTTTTGAAGGCAGAGGCCTGGGTACAAAGCCCATCTGTGGTTCTTGACCAGTTCGGTGTCATCTTGAGCCTCTGAGCCTCAGTGGTCTTCCTTTCCAACATGGCAGTGTAAGGGTTGTAAAGTAAGTGTCCCCTGTGAAAGAAAGATGTACTACCTTCCCCAGACATACAGAGTCTTGGCTATGAGTCTGAATCGACTGGGGGGCAGGCGATGAGTTTGGCTTGATCTTTTGGGAGGTTGGCACGTGGTAGGTGGTGGTTTGGCTTGTGTCGGAGGCCGTTGGTACAAAGCAAGTCTTGCATCAGAAAGGTTCGGTTCAGATCACTCTCAGCAGACCATGCGTGGTCCCCTGTCCTGGTTTTGTTTGGCCGGGCTAGCTGGGGAGTTCCCTTTAAAAGGGCAAACAAAGGTTCGGTGTGGCTTGAGGCTGACAAGGGCGGGTCAGGGCGTCTCCTGCCTTATAGGCAGCAGGCGTAGAAAGAACAGAGGCTTTGGAGTCAAAGGAGCTGAGTTGGACCTGGCTCTGCTGCCTGTTGACTTTGAGACCCAAGGCAGTGCCCACCTGGCTTTACTTTCTTCCTTGGAAAATGGGACGCCATCAGCCAACACTTGTTGGGCTCCTGTTCTAGACTGAGGAGCCCTGGTGGCGCCGTGATGACATGTTGGATTGCTAACCAGAAGGTCAGCCGTTCGAAACTACCAGCCTCTCTGTGAGAGAAAGATGAGGCTTTCTGCTCCTCTAAAGAGTCTTGGAAACACACAGGTGTCTGAGTGCTGCCCTGTAGCAGTCCTACCCTGCCCAATACCCACTGGCTGTGAGTCAGAACGGACTTGCTGGCAGTGAGTTTACGTGGTGTAACGTACCAGACACTGCCAATGGTAGCGGGGGAATACAGGGCTTAGCACAAGCTGAGCTTGTCAGCCCAGTGAGGGCCACCTGAAGCCAGATCAAGGAGGAAGGGCTAAGTTGATGTTCAAGCATCATCTAGCTCCTGTGGCAGGCATGTACAGGAAGTTCTTGAACTTCCCTAAAACCCCAGTGAGAAATGAGGACCTAATGCCGGGGGCTTAAGTGGAGAGGAAATGTTTTGAGAATGATGAGGGCAATGAATGTACAAATGTGCTTTACCCAATTGATGTATGTATGGATTGTGATAAGAGTTGTATGAGCCCCTAATAAAATGATTAAAAACAAAACAAAACAAAAAACCCCAGTGAGCTGAGTTATCGTTCTCTAGCGTAGAGAGGAGGAAGCAGAAACCCCAGAGAAGTGAAGCAAGTTGCCCAGAGTCACACAGCTGGTGAATGGCAGAGGCAGACTCCCAAAGTAGCATTTTAGTTTTCGTTTTGGTTTGCTTTTTCTAGTTTCCAAAACCGGCGGTGTGCACTTCCCTTCCCGTTGTTCGAGGTGATCCCAGAGATAGTGTGACTGTCCGGGACAGAGATGAATAGCCAGGGGAGGGACTCTCCGGGGTGACGTAGGACATAGGACCTGGATGAGGCGTGAAGGTGAAGGTGGGTGAAGAACTCCAAGTGGAGGAAAAGGAGGCGCTGAGGAGCACGGCATGCTTTGGGCCCCGGAACCAGTGGGCACACCAGCCACGCAGTGAGCCCAGGGCCAGGCCAGGCGCCGTGCTAAGTGGTGCAGGGCATTATTTACTCTTCACAACCATGCTGTGTAGGGGCTGCTAGCGCTCCCTCCTTCACAGGTGGGAAACTGAGTCTCAAGCATGGGCTTGCTGACCACCGGCAAAGTGATGGGGCCAGATTTGAAGGCAGGCTGTTTGATTCCAAAGCCCGGGGACTTTACCTCCAAGTTCAGTGGGGGGCTAAAATGTGAGACATCTGGGGAGGACGGGCGTAGATGAGCCCGATGAGAGGGGGGAACCAGATGCTGGAAGTCTGTGTTTTAGGACTTGGCCCTGTGGTGCACTGTTGGGGGCCTAAGGTGGAGCCCAAGAGTCGGGTGATGGAACCCATTTGGTTCCCGTTTCTCGATGATCCCCAATCCAGAGGGGCAGTGGCATTCTTTCAAACAGGTGTGTATGAGCCCAACGTAGCTTGGATTAGGCTCAAACCCATTGCCGTCTGGTGGATTCTGACTCCTAGTGACCTCCCAGGACAGGGTAGAACTGCCCCTGTGAGTTTCCCACTCTGTAACTCTTCATGGGAGTAGCAAGCCCATCTTTCTCCCCAGGAGCAGCCGGTGGTTTCAAACTGCTGACCTTGCCGTTAGTAGCCCACCTCATAACCACTCCGCCACCGGGGCGCCACTGGTCTAGGCTCCCGAGGACTTAATTTCTGGGTATTTTCTGCAGTTCTGTTCTTTTTCTGTTTCTTGACTATGAGTTTTTCCACCTGCCTATTCTTGGGTGCCCTGGGTGTGAGCCCAGTTAGGGAAAAGGATGGGGGTGGGTGGGGTGGGCATATGTCTCAGCACCACCGCCAGAGTTCCCTACCTCCCTCTGTGGTCTCATTTCCTCTCTGTTCCTTCTTATTTGGTCCTGTTCTCCCCCTGCCCCCTGGCTTTCTTAAAAGCTGTTTTTTGCTTTCCTTTGTAGCTGCTTTGCTTTGTCTCTGTAGTTGACATCAGCCTCGTGGCATTTTAATTTATTTTCCCATCTGTTTATAGGGGGTGGGGGGCGCTGTAGATGATGCCCTGGGGTTTCTAGAAAGCACGGAGCAGGGTTGAAAAGGAGGTGTGCGTCACAGCCCAGTGAGTGCTTCCCTGGGTGTTCGACTGCAGTCGGCGCACACCCTTGTGTCTGGTCGACCTGCTTCTGACTGACTGGGAGGCAGACCTGGCAGGTGGTGGCAAGAAGCAGATCAGGGCCCGGGCTTTCTGGTGAGATGCACGCAGGTTCAGGTCCTGGTCTAGCCATGGACTGGCCTGTAGCCTCTGGCTAGTACTCCATCTCTCAGAGCCTCATTTCCTCTTGGAGGAAAGGGTCATGACAGCTACCCCATCAGTCTGTTGTCAGGCTAGACCCTCCAGGCCCTGGGCAGGAGAGCTGGGTCAGGTGTCAGGTTGTCCAGTTCTGTGTTCCAGGACCACGCACACGCTCGGTGCTCGGAGCAGCAATCAACGGGGCCTACTTGCTCTCTGTGCCATATTGAAACATGTGCAGGGGCAGCGATTGTAGCAGCCTGATGCTCTGGAATGAACTAATGAACGGCGAGATGGGGAGAGAGGGAGGCATTTGGTTAAGGATAAAAGGGGCCTTTGAGCTGAAGGCCAGGGCTTCACACACACACATATACACCCCCCCACACACACACATATACACCCCAGCAGAGAATGCAGCAGTCTCTCCCAGCTGCAGTCTGTGAATTCCCAGGTCAAAGGAAGTGACAGAGAAGCTGATCAGCACACACTAGACTGTTGTCCCTTCCGCTTGGCAGTCCCTGTAAGCAGGTCAGTCGATTTTGGAGGGTATGTGTCTGGAGGAGGGAGAAGGTGGAGGCCCCTGGGAGGCGGGACTAGCTCTCAGAGAGGCTAGCTCTCTCAGAGAAGAGCCAAGGAGGGGCTGGGAGGATGGTGAATAACGGAAGACAGGAGTTGGGGGTATCTAAAGTCCAAGGGCAGGGCTAAGACTGATGGTCAGATCTTATAGTGGCAGAGTCTACCTCTGAACCCGGGGGCTTCCTAACAGCCTGAGCTGCTTGGAATTGGGAATTCACGAGCCCCCTGCCACTAGGGAGCAGGCTGCGGGGGTCATACTGGTGACCTCCTGCCAGGGATGCAGAGAAGAGATGGTTTCTTTTACACTGGGCGAGAGAAGGCTCCTCTCCCGTGTTCTGGTGTGCTTATTGAACATGGTCTCCATGGGTGATTTTCCCATTTGTTCCATCCTCCCCTCTCCCACTTTTACTGAGTTCCTACCGTGAGCCAGTGCCCAAGGGTGGTGGGTCAAGGGTAGACATCTTGCACTCCATGCCAGAAACCCAGGTTCAGGTCCCAGCCAGTGGCCAAGTTTTAGCGCAACGTCCAGATGAGGAAGAAAGGCTCGGTGATCTGCTTCCTGAAATCAGTCCATGAAGACTTTCTGAACCACAGCAGTGCCTCCGTCATAGGGACGGCACAGGGCGGGGCAGCATCTTGCTCCATTGTGCGGAGGGTCGCCAGGCCTTGGGAGGCAATTCAACGGCAGCTGGTACCTGCGAGCAAAATCATGTGACACAGGTACATTTGCAACTTTCACATCCAGTGTAGCTTACAGGACAAGTAACTAGACGTCAGGTCTGACTCAGTTGCCTGCTGGGAAGTCCTTCAGGGGAGTTGGCAGGAGCTGAGGAGACAGGAAGCAGTTTGGAGAAATCAGAGCGGGAAGGGGAGGGTGCTTCAGCCAGAGGTGATGCCCAGGGGTGCCCCAGGGTGTAGAGGATCCCGCGGAGGGCCATGCCATCACTTCATAAAGGCAGGGGCCCAGTACTGCCTCAGCTTCCTCTCGAACCCTGAGGGCAGAGAGAAGGAACCCTGGTGATGTAGTGATTCGGAGTCGGGCTGCTAGCTGCAGGGTCAGCAGTTCGAAGCCACCAGCCGGTCTGAGGGAGAAGGAGTTACAGCCTTGAAAACCCACAGGGGCGGTCCTCCCCGTCCTGGAGGGTCACTGCAAGTCAGAATCGACTCGATGGCGTTGAGTAGAGGGCAGAGAGAAGGCAGAGCTGCCGTTTTCTCCACGTTGAGGGTGCTTGGCATCAGATGTGGATGCACACAGGAAGCAGGGATTTATGGAGGGGCCAGAGACCATCTTTGCCTGCAGGCGGTCCCTCTGGCAAGGACAGGGCAAGGCCTACACTGGCATGCAGAGTGGTCCCTGCTAACCCAACCAGCTGCGGGCCAACAGTTGAGGGAGGTCCCTTCTACGTGGGGTAGGGAGAACGGCGGACTTCACTGAAAAGGAATGAACGGAGAGGATGTTAAGAGCTTGCAGAAGGAGGAAGACTGGAGAGCCAGTCTTGGACCTGGGCAGGAACCTAGGCGATCCTGGCAGGCCTGGAGGCCAGGACCTGCAAGAACAGCTCAGAACCGGAAGGGCTGATCAGACCCACTACTGAGCAGGACCAAGGACTCCTGAGGGATGGCCAAGGTTAGGTCTCATCAGTGGATGCTAAGCACACATTCCCAGGGCCCGGTTCTTTGCCCCCACTAGATAATACCAAACCCATATTTTAAATTAATTTTAAAAACCATTTTGTTTAGCTCTCTTAAGTAGACCCACACATGAATGCTCTACTAGTTATTACTGAGAGTGACTAAGTATTATAATTGAGCTGAAAATAATCCCCCCGCCCATACTCGCTGGGTTGGTTACTAAGTATTGCCTGGGTTTTTGAGTAATGAAGTTGTGTTCTTTCCAAATGTTAATTCTGAGGATGGCAGATGCTAACCATCTGTTACATGACTAGCATTTTACAATATTTGATTAGCACTTTATATAGTTGGGGGAAGCCTGCCAGTGGTGTCTGCCCATCAGATCGGGCATGTTGGGGGTGTGCCCTGTGTGGCTGCCCTGGGAGGTCTGGCCTCCGATGTGTTGGGCTGAGGGGACTCGTCAGGCCGTTAGGTGCTTGTTCAGCACAGGTGTAACTCGAGGGGCCGGTCCCTGTTGGCATGCAGCCTTAGAGCTGGAACTACCGGAACCGTCATGGAAGGAGAGTTGGGCAGGCAGGGGCCCACCCATGCATTTGGCCGCAAGTGACAAAAACCACAGAACTGCTGCTCTGTGGCCAAAGGGAATTAGTTGGCCCAGATCAATGAAAAGCCTTCTCATGGATGGGCTTGGGGCTCAAAACAAGCCCTTTGGATTTGACTTCACTTGGTTTCTCTCAATATTACAACCCTGTCTTCTGCTATGTCATTTTACTCTCCCAAGCCTCAAAAGGAAGCAAAGTGGCCTCCCTGCCAGACTCTCCAATCCGGTTTCAAGTCTTAACGGGAAGCAGCTGCAGGGGCTTGTCCAGCTTGCCTGCTGCGTTGCCGGGAGCCTCTGATTGGAGCCGCTTAGGTCATGTGCCCATCCTTGAGCCAATCCGTACGACCATGTGGATGCAAGGCTCTGATTGGTCAGGCCAGGGTGGAGCTCCGCCTGCACTGCCAGGCCTGACCCGAGGAACGCCGGTGCCCGGGCGGGCCTGCTTTCAGAAGGAAGGGATGGAGAGGGCTGGGAAACCACCTCTCTTCGGTGTCAGGCAGCATCCCAGAGAACCAGGAGGACCTGGCCAACTTAGCTGTGGAGCTCTTCGCTGCCAGCAAGATCCAAAAAAACTTCCCCAAAATTACTGCCGTGAGAGTGGGTGCTGACTCACAGTAACCCCACGGGACAGGGTAAATGATCCCGAGAGTTTCCCAGATTCCGTCTGTGCGAGTAGAAAGCCTCGTCTGACTTCCGTGGAGTCGCCGGTGGTTTTGAACTGCCGATCTTGCGTTTAGTAGCCCAATCGGTAACTACTGTGCCAGCAGGGCGCCCCCACCGGGAATAAAATAGGCTGGCAATGAGAGGAGGGCGACTCAAAGCAGGTAACTAGAATGGATGCGCTTGTTGGGCGTTTGGGGCGCTTGCCTTCCACCTGTGTTCGTTTCCTGTAGGTTAAGGGCAGGTACTTCTGCCGTGCGTTTTAGCTCCTCCATCCGCTATGAGGAGAACCTCGTTCTCATAGAGGGACAATCTGGATGGAGGGGAGATTAGATTCCGCTCGGGCCAGTGTGTGAGACATCGCGAGAAGCCTGCTGTGGGTGGCATATGGGCACCTGGCCCGGTGCCATCTTAGGCGTGGCAGCAGACACCCGGGCAGGGTAGAGCGCACCATGCCTGTGCCCTGCAGCACTTCCGAGGGAGAGGCCCTGAGCAGTGAACACTGGGGCACAGTCATGGGCAGGCAGACCCTTCATGCGTATTGTACAAGCCCTTACGTTCTAGAATCTAGAATGGGGGAGGGGTGCTTTGGGCTAGAGTTGTACGTTCTTTAAGAGAAGCATGCATGGCCACGGAGTGGATTCTGACACCTAGCGATCTTATAGGACAGGAAAGACTACCTGTAAGGGTCCCGAGTCTGTCAATATCTATGGAAGCAGACCCATGTCTCTGCCCCTTTGAGCGGCTGGTGGGTTCACATTTTGAGGACCTTTTGGTTAGCAAGCCTGGTGCTTGACTGCGGCACTACCAGGACTCCAGGGGAGAGGCGTTAGGAGTGAAAAAGCGAACTCTGCAGGCCAGAGTGCGTACTGTGAGATCCCATTCAGATAAAGCTCTGAAAGCGCTAACCCATCTACAGTGATTGGAAGCAGATCCGTGGCTTGCGGGTGGGGTGGGGTGGAGAGGAAGGAGGGGGCATCGCTAAGAGGCACGCAGCAACTTTGGGGGCGATGGAGACACTCATGTCTGATGGAGGTGATGGCCTCGGGAGTAGGCATATGTCAAAGCTTATCAAATGGTGTACTTTAAGTATGTATAATTGATTGTATATCAACTACCACTCAGTATGAGGAACCCTCTTGGGACTGTGGTTAATCGCATAGCTCTAACTGAAGGCCCAGGGTGGAAACCCATCAGCAGCTCTGGGGGAGAGAATACTTGGTGGCCTGGTCCCATAAGCAGGTATGCACTGGAGGGCACATTGTTAAAAGCGGCTCTGGAACCAGATGATCTGGGTTTAATAACTCCAGCTCGACCCTTCCAGCTGTGTGGCTCGAGGTAAGTTACCTGGCCTCTCTGTGCCTCCATTTTCTGGGATCTTCTTAAGTCAGGGTGGATTGTAGTACCTCTCTTCGAGGTTGGGTGGGTCTAATGTATTAATCTTGGGCAAAGTGAAGAGCACACAGTGCATAGTCTTACTAATAACACACAGTAAAACGAAACCGGGGGTCCAGGCCAGCACGCTACGGCACTGCTATGCAGCGGCTTCATGTAGAGCCCCAGACCTGTCCGGGGCCTGAGACTCAGCACCTCTAGAGCTTCCTGGCCCGGGGCCTGACTTTGAGGAGGGGGCTTAGGCCTTGGGCAGTCTCCCTTCATTACACGATGCCCTCAGTAGTGTGTCCTGCTGAAGTTGGCCGGTTTCTCAGTACTTGCTGCACAGACTTACCGGCCCTTCTCCTCTCGTCAGTGATACCTGCGCATGCATGGAAGGAAGCAGCTTTCCAGAAAGAAGCCAGCAGAAGGTTGCACATCTCTCTCTACTCCTGCCATGGTGCTGGGGGGCTGCTCTGGGCAAGATCACCCGGCTCTGCAGGGGCCTGGTCCCTACCCTGTGTCCTGCTTCACTGAGTGGCCTGCTGCCCTGTCCTAGAAGTGTCCCTGTGTTTTCCAGGGGCAGTGGATCTCCTGGATGGCCCCACTCCCGGGGGCAGAGCTGGTCCAGAGGCCGCTGCAGCTCTACCGATACTTGCTGCGCTGCTGCAGGCAGCTGCCAACCAAGGGCATCCAAGAGCATTACAAACATGCTGTAAGGCAGGTGGGAACAGATGGAGGGGATTGGGCAATGGGGCTGGGGGGTGGGGAGGGGAGGGGGAGAAGCCTAGAATGAGCCAAGAGTAGGGTGCTGGGTGGTAGGTGCTAGGGGGGAGGCAGCAGTGCGGTAAGGACAGAATTCGATGCTAGTTGGCCCAGAGCTGCCCTCCACATCCTGCCAGGGTTGGAGTCAGCAGCTAAGCAGGTAAGTCAGCTTGTGCCACGGTGACGGCCTTCTTTCCAATAATGCACAGCTGCAACCTTGGGTGAACCCACACTGTGGGATCGTTGACCGCAGCACGGGGCCTGCCCTCAACCAAACTGTCCAAGCCAGAAAGCAGAAAGACAGGCCAAGGAGGGGCTCCGGACCATAAAGGGCCCGAGCCGTGGCCATTCCCTGGACAGAGTCCCAGATAATGCATCTCCTGTCAGCAGAACATGCGTTTGCTCTGGTGATGCCAAGGATGGGCCACAGAAAAGTGGGTGAAGGGAGACATCGGTCAGTGTAAGACATGAAAAAATAATCATAATTTATAAATTACCAAGGGTTCATGAGGGAGGGAGGGTGGAGGAGGGAAGGGAAAAATGAGAAGCTGATACCAAGGGTTCAAGTGGAAAGAAAATGTTTTGAAAATGATGATGGCAACCAATGTACCAATGTGCTTGAACAATGGATGGATGGATGGTGATAAGAGTTGTATGAGTCCCCAGTAAAATGATTTTTTTAAAAAAGAAGAAGAAAAGGCTTCTGTCGAGGTCTAGTCCAAGACAGACGAGGAAGAAAGGCCTGCCAAGGTATTTCCAAAAACCACCTTCTGGATCACCGTAGCCTGACCTGCACTCTGGTCATAGGCATGGCCCCCGGGCCAGGCAGTATTTCTTTCTGCCATGCATACGGGGGTCACAGGTCAGGATGACCAGATGGCCGCTAGAAATAACAAAGAGACATGAGAACTAAATGTAATGGGGGATCTAGATTAACTAATGGCCCAGCACCCCCCCCCCCCAAAACAAACAAACACAGATAGGTGCTGCCCAGGATGTTACTGAGCGATTCAGGCAAGTGCGCCTGTGAACTGCAGCCTTTCTGCCAGTTAAACGTTATTTCCAAATAAAAAGTCAAAAGCTAAAATTAATACAAAGAAGAGCATGGGGCTGGGGGTGGGAGAAGAGAGGTCGTAGCAGAGAAGTGAAAACACAGCGCGCTGGGCTGTTGTCAAGGAGGACTGCCTGGAGATGGTCCCTGTGGACTACGAAGATGAGGCTATGTGGTGGGTGTGGGAGTGATGGGGAGATAGATGGGTCTCCCCCCTTCTGTTTGAGAGACAAAAGCAGACGGCTTCTGCTCTGCGGCAGGCCTGGCTGGGTGCCGTCAGTGGCTGCGATGCTTCACCAGCAGAAGGAGCCCAGAGAAAGCACAGGGGTCCCACCTTCCAACCCCCCTTGCTGGGAGAAACCACATTTCCCTCTGGCCAAATAGCCCAAGGGTACATCCCCATTGGGAGTGGAGTGGTGGCTTTAGTGCCTGCAGGTGTCCATGGCTCCCCGAGAGGTTACCTTTGAAACTGGACACATTTCTTCTTCTTTTTTTTTTAATCATTTTATTAGGGGCTCATACAACTCTTATCACAATCCATACATCCATCAATTGTGTAAAGCGCATTTGTCCATTCATTGCCCTCATCATTCTCAAAACATTTCCTCTCCCCTTAAGCCCCCGGCATCAGGTCCTCATTTTCCCCTCCCTCCTCCCTCTCCCCTCCCTCATGAGCCCTTGATAATTTATAAATTGTTATTTTGTCATATCTTGCCCTGTCCGACGTCTCCCTTCACCCACTTTTCGGTTGGAAACTGGACACATTTCTGCAGATACACCTGGGCTCCCCACTCATGAGTCAGCGTTGACACAACGGTGAACCGTCTCTTGGTTTTGTTTGGGGGGGGGCGCTGGCCTGCATTGTCACAACTGCCCTGCCAGGGCAGGAGCCGGGGCTTCACAGGAATAGACTAGGAGTTAAATATTGGTGCCACCCGGGCAGTGAATTTAGTGCACCTGGCCCGTGGCAGGTGCCCTGGAGCTCCGGGTTATCGCGAAGATACCTCGCCATCTTTCTTTGTGCCTCCACTACCAGAATTTCCTGGTCCATGCCGATGAAGACGACCCCCAGAGAATCCGGCAGATTATTCAAAGAGCCATTGAAGACGCTGACTGGATCCTGAACAAAGTGAGTGTTTTGCGGCCGCGGCCACCAGGGGGCGCCCCCGCCCCACACTGTGTGCCCGTAAGTTGGGGCACCCGATTTAAATTGAGGTGGTTATGCCTTGCTGGGGGGCCCAGAGGAGGTCCCAAGTCGACCACGCCTTTCTTCCTGCAGCCCAAAGGTCATGGCCATGCCTGTGCCAGTTGCATTTGTTTTCTGCAAAGCAGGGAGGTCCCCACAGCCCCTAAAGTAAGGTGACCAGATTTTAACATTGATAGAGCGGGACACCATTGATCAAACTCATCTCCTGGCAAAATAGCCACATGGCAGCCGAAAACCGTATACCGTAGCTTGTCGTGCATTCTTTCCAAAAATCGGGACTCTTTTAAAACGCCGAGGGACGCGGGGGGGGAAAATTGTTAAAAATCGGGACACAAAAAAAGCGGGACGTCCGGTCACCTTGGTGTGGAAAGGAGCTGCGAACTGCCCTCTTGGAAGCCAGAGCACAAGGGCTGGCAGCAGCGCTGTGCGGTGTGTCGAGGCAAACACTGATGGGCCCGGTAGTGAGCTCCCTGTTCTGGGGGGGATATTCATACTGGGGCAGGGCTGCTGAGGAAGCTCAAGGGCCTGTTTGGGTGGAAGAAGCGTATCTAAACAACTCATGCCAATTGCCTGTGTGCCGAGCAGAACTGTGCTCCACGGGGCTTTCAGTGGCTGATGTTTGGGAGGTGGTTTTCCAGGCCTTTCTTCTGGCCCTCTCTGGGTGGCCTCAAACCTCCAACCGTTTGGTTATCCGCCGAACACATTCACGTAGGTTTGTACCTTCCCTGGTACTCGGATGGAAAGAACGGATCCTTAAACCTCAGTCCTGGATCAACCCAGAGAGCTGAGGGTGCCCCTGGCCCCAGTCCTAGACATCAGACGACACTCCCCATCCCCTGACACTCTGTGATCGCACCAGATGATCTCTGAGGATCCTCCTCGACCTGGGATTTCTCTCCCCGCTCCCTAAACAAAGGCGCAGACTAACGATGCCGCATGTTTTAATCCAAATGCCCCCGCAGTCCCAGCCTCCTTCGTTATCTCTCCCAGCCCCACCAGTTCCTTTCTATAGAAGGAAGGGGTCCAGGCTGGGGGGGGGAAGTGGGGGGAAGCCTTGGCGGTGGTACAGCTCCCCACCCAGGACCTGCGGCGAGGGCCTGCCCGCCCTGCGTGGTCTCCTCTACAGCTCACAACCTCTCTGCCTTGCAGTATAAGAAGCCAAACGGAGAATCCTAGACCAGAAGCTTGAAGCCGCCCTGAAGATAACAGAGGCCGCTGCCCTCCTGGGATCGACCCCCAGCTTCATCTTCGGAGGACAGGAAGTTGCCCAGGCGCTCCGGCCTCTGCCCGAGATGGCTCTTCTCGCCCTGTTCCTGACGCCCGGCACTGCGTACGACATGGGGTTTGGGGAGAATGCGGTCTTCCTCTTCTTCATCCTTTGCTTCTTTGTGTGCGTGTTCGTCTTTTTCTACTTTTCCCTCAAAGTGTTTCACTTATTCTGGAGGTCTCTGAACCACGCCCTGATGCCCGAGGCGGCCATGTCCCCAGAGGGCAGCCTGCACGGGGGCAGCAACGTCAGCTTCAGAATCAGGCAGATCCCCATGTGAGCAGCCCCCCACCCCCACCCCTGCGCAGCTGCTTGTCCAGGGTTTTCAGTCACGCCCTCCCCCAGCAAAATGGCGGTTCAGGCTGTAGGGAGAGTTAGACAAGATAGTGTCTGGGGCCTGGGGTGGTGTTTGCTGCGGGTTTGTGCCAGTCAAAGCCCCTCGCCGAGCCCTCTTCTTCGGCTTCGAATGCTCTGCACAGCTCTGCCATCGTGGTTTGTTGATGGGCTTGTCCCTCGGTGCGGAAGAGGCTGGCGTTCTGTTCCTACATGCACCCTCAGAGTCCTCCGTGTTGTGCGGTACCTGCCCAGCAGCCCACCATGTCTGCATGCCCAGGAAAGTAGACCACCTGTCTGTCTGCTTAGGAAGGAGAAGCCCCGCCTTCCAGGAGCGGGCGGGCGCCCTGCATGTGATGGGGTGCCTGCAGAGCTGGGAGGTGTCGCAGAGCTGCCAAGGACGCAGAGACTGGGGACCTTTTGGCTTTGCCACCATCGTGGGAGGAATGAGGGGACCCAGAAGGGTACCTGGAGAACTGGCCACCCCAGGCCCAGTGGAAAGAGGAGGAGTCCCCAGCTGGCTGGCCCCGGTTCTGCTACAAGGACCTCTTCCTTAGCAGAGACTGAAGGCGTGAGAGGGCCTGGGGCATTCCCAAGAGCCAGAGGATGGATCAGCCAAAGATTAGGAAGGGGGCCTGATGTTCCCAAGAACCTTCTGCCAGAGGGTTGAGCCAGCGAACCGCCGTGTCCTTGTGCCTTTGTGATTCAGATGCATCCGTGTGTATGCAGTGACCAACAGCTAAGGAAATAAACCTCTGTTTGAAATCTGCCTTTTCTGGGACACTTGACTGATTTCTTCCCGCCCATGTTTCAGGTGGAGCCCCTGAGCATCACATATGGTTAAGTACTTGCCCTGCCAAGAGGCTAGCAATTTAAGCCCATCCAAAGGCACCTTCAAGAGCCCCGGTGGCACAGTGCTTACAAATTGGGCTGTTCACCACAAGGTCAGCAGTTTGAAACCCTCAGCTGCTCCACAGGAGAAAGAGGAGGCTTTTTACTCCTCCTATGGTGAGTCTCTGAAACCCCAGGGGCAGCTCTACCCTCTTGGGTAGGGTCCCCAAGAGTCAGCATGGACTTGGGGGCCATGAGTTTAGAGGCACCTTGGAAGTAAGGCAGGGAGATCCACTTCCCCAAAAATCAACCAGTGAAAACCCGACAACAGGACTGTCATCTGACACACATGGGATCGGGTCACCGTGAGGCAGAATTCACTCATCGACAAGGACAAGACAACTGTGGGATAACATCATACAGTGGGATACGGAAGCCACGAAGTTCAGGGCTCCTTCTTTGAGGGGCAACAGGCTCGTCTGACTGCTAAGTATGGGCGAGCTGAGGGGCTTCAGGCTGTCCCATGGCTGGATCATCCCCATCCTTGCCCCTGTTGTTCAGGCCCTCTGAAATCAGGAGACACGTCTGTGGTTGATCACAAGAGTGGGGCTGCTTGCGTCCTAGACCTTGCACTGGGAGGACGGAGGGAACCAAGGCTGGCCATCTTTGGGAGACAGTACCGTAAACCTTGAGTTAGTCCCCTGACCTTGACTTCACAAATGGGTGTTTGATCTGGTTGTGGTGACTCACCTCGAAGTGAGACCGTGGGTGCCCAGTGCCTCTGGGAAGGTGAAGGCTTGGGACTGTGATGGCTGCTTGGGACTCCTGCCAGCCCTGCGATGCCAGCCCTGCGAGCCCAGCAAACAGTAAGTATGATGACCCAAGGGGCTGATCCCAGCAGGAGAATCTGCAGGGGCGTGGGGTGAGACCTGGGAGAGGCTCGCCGCCTTCCAGCTCTGCCCTGATGGTGGCCCTGAGGGGGCTGTCAGTCAGCCGGGCCCGCAGCTCTGAAGTACACACAGTGCATGTTTTATTCAGAGTAGCTTCTCAGCAAAGGAAAGAAGGCGATGGACGTGTGTTGGCCTCAGAGTCAGGCAGTGTGTCGGAAGGAGCGCGGGAAGTGGAAGTCCCAGCTGGATCCCTTAGTGGTAGCCCGACTCTGGGCACATTGCAGCCAGCCAGCCACCTCCTTTTCCTCACCTGCCTCGGGATACCTCTGCCCCAGGGGCCTGGGAGGTAAGGGCAGAGCCGCACATGGATAGGCAGCCCCGTGGCTTCCTTCCCTCTTCTCCTGGGTGTGTCCTGGCCAAGATCCTACTCGTGAGGGGGGTCCCTCACAGAGGCCAATCTATGGACACGGGACCCAACGTCCAACTGCTGAAAGAGCTGAAGGACCTCTCAGTACTGGTGATGGCAACGTTGGTACACTTCTCACCAAACGCAAGCCCAGCCCTCTGCCTGCGAGTCTGATGCTGACTCACAGCGACCCTGCAGGACAGCGTGAACTGCTCCCTAGGGCATCTGAGCCCAAGTGTTTGTGTTAGCACATAGCCTCATCGCTCTCTCAAGGACTGGCTGGCTGGGCTTGAAACTGCCCAATGCTTAGCCTGCTGCGCTACAAGGAACCCTTGTATGTGCCTCTGGTCCTTCCTTCGTGACTCCCCACCTCACCCCTGAAGACACAAGCCTGGTGGGAAAGGACCGGTCGTCTGGTACTGACCCCCCTCACGTCTCCCAGGTGTTCCTGTGTGTTATTTTCAGTTCTCTGTGTGGCTGTGATGGGCCGATCTGTGCCTCCCAATGAGATACGGTCAAGCCCTAACTGCCGTGGCCTGTGACCCCATTGGAAAATGGCATTTTGTAGCTATCATTAGGTAACAAGAGGTCACAGGGCACCAGGCTGGGCTCTGTGCTTCTACAAAGGGATGCCTGGGGCCACCGGAAGACAGAAGCGGTCTAAGAAGAGTGAGCAGGGCCCCATGTGGGACTGTTCACCTCCGGGACTGGGAGAGAATACGTTTTGTGCCCCTAAGCCGCTCTGTTCGTGGTACTTTATTAAGGCAGCCCAAGGAAACCAAGACAGCATCTGTCATTGCTCTGGGTTGTGATTCTGCGGATCTCTCTTCATGTCAGTTGTCCTCAGCCGACCTGGACTAATAATCCCAAAGAGCACTGAGCTTGTCCGCCAGCAGACTGCAGATGCCAGGCCACCTGTGGCGTCTGCCTGTCACTGGGGCGCTTGCTGCTTTCTGATGATGGCGGAGGCTTGGGGTGGGCTGGGGTGGGGGTTTCTGGAGCCGCTATTTGTGGTTGCTTGTGCTGCCGAGTCACCTCTGATTCATAGCGACAATTGGACAAACACTGCCCGCCTGTGTGAGGTTGGAGCCCATGGTGACAGCCACTGTGCCCATATGTCCCTTCCATAGAGCGGATGCCATCCTTGCCTCATGATGGGCCTGATGACGAGCGGGTGTTGAGATCTCACACAGCCTTCTTCCAGGAAGTCTGTCGTGAAGCAGACAGGACTTCCCCCAAACCCAAAGCCAGGATCACCAAAAGGCCAAACCCAAACTTCCTGCGATAAACCTGTTCCGCTGTCCATCTTGTTTCCCTAGGGATGGGGATTAAGTTGTGCGAATCCCTGGCAAACACAACAAAACTCTACCCCGCCTTTGTGCCATGACAAGGGAGAAGCCTGGCAGGTTGGCTGTGAAGGAGCCATGCGGTGAGCCCTGGGGTGGAGACTGTCGCCCCAGGAAAAGATCAAAAGTTCAAGAACTGAGACTATGGCATTTCCCAAAGAGGTTCCGAACACGGCTTTCCTGCCCCCCACCCCCCAACCTGGTCCCAGCACTGTGGCTCCTATAGGGTGAGGAGAAGACCGTCCTTCCAGCAGCGAAGTGGCCCGAGTGTGCGCCATTGATTCACAAGCATGCCCGTGGCTTGGACTTGAGACCTGAGTGGGGGTTTCAGGATGGAACCAATGAAAAAGAATCCACCCATGAACCGATCATGAAACTACCAGCCAATTACCACCAAGTTGACTCCAACCTTGTGTGACCCCACGTGCGTCAGAGCAGAACTGTGCCCCATGGGGTTTTCAATGACTGACCTTTCTTCTGAAGCTTTGGGTGACCTTGACCCTCCAAGTTTTGGGTTGCAGGCGTGGTGTTAGCTACTGAATCGTTTTGAGCCTCTCTGAAGAAGTGAGAAGACGCATTGAAGTGGGACCCCTTGAAGTCTTCCAATTAAAAGTTATTTTTAAAGTTCTGGGGAAGGTAAAGGAGCACTTCTTGAGCACCAACTGTATGGCTGGCCTGGGTGGGTGCTGGGGACCCACAGGTTGGTCCATGGACTGGGCAGAGGCTTGGTCTTGTTCACTACTCAAGCCCCATCAGTCCCCAGGCACATAGTAGGAACATCTTAACATTTCATGGGTGAGTTCAAGGCATGGCTCTTGGCTCCAGAGCTTACGTTCTGGTTAGGCAGACAGAGGTGCTGAGTTACAATGGGTCCCCCCCAAAGCTGGCAGTAGGACAGGTTTATTCAGGGACAGCCTTCTCCACTGGGAGAGTTCTACTTCCACCTGATGAAGCCCAAGGCTGCCTCCTGCTGTCACTAGCAGGGAACCCTAGGCATCTCTGCGTGCTGCTGTGAAGGCCTGGCCACCAATGTCTTGGGTGGGGGGTGCCCCCTCTCTTTGAGCTTTGAGCCACAAATACCCAAGAGTAGCTTCATCAGGTCTCTGAAGTCAACTAGACTCAACCTTGAGATGGGTGAGTCCCGCAGTCCCTGTGCTTGTCAGTTTCAGCCACTGACCCAGGTGGCTCCTCTACTCTTCATAGTCTCACATGCGCCCATTCTGAGGATACAGATGGGGCTTTCCACTCCCATAAAGAGTTTTAGCCTCAGAAACTCACCTGGGGCCGTTTCACCCTGTCCTACCTGTGGGCTCACTGTGTGCCGGCATGGACTCGATGACAGTGCACTTGTGGTATTTTCTTCCACTGAGATGGGGTTGTTATCTTGAGTGGTTTCTGACTCATAATCACCACATGGGACACAGTAGAACTGTCCTATAGCACTTTTAAGGCTGTCATCTTACAAAAAAAATTAATGCCAGTAATCATTGATTTTCCACATTAAAATAATATACACATAATGTATTGTTAGTTTGGTTTCTTCAAATTTTATGCCCATTTACTTCCTATTAAAGAGAAAAGGAAACATGGTGTTAAAAAAAGATGATACATTTATGAAGGAAGCACAAGAGGAACAAAATGGATGCTTTCCCTCTACAACGTTTAAAATTATTTATTAAATTTGGTTTTTCCCCCTATACAAAGTTAAGACAGCATCAAGCCCAGAACAGGGAGTTTGTCAAAAATAAAACAAAAAAGACAGAGAACCCCTTCTCTACCACTGCCATTTAACAGCTATGAACTTATTGATCACAACAAACACACCTGAACAGCTAAAGACAGTGAGAAAGGCTTTTTATATAATCAAGGTAAGGCATACAGCAGACAGCCTTGCCAAAAAGGGAGGGAGACACAGATAAAAACCCCGAAGTCCAGCATCAGTGGTCCGTGTACATCCTATATTGTGATAGCGATCAAGTGAGTCAAGGGGGCAGGGGTGGTGGGGAATCTAGGTTTACTGGAGAGGAGACATTTGTAATGCCATTTGCCTTTGGTAACCTGATTGCCTCTAGTTTAACAGTTTAATCTAGTATTAAACTGTTGTATGTCTTTTTTTCTCCAACAGTCGTGTTTTTTTCTTTTTAAATTAAACCCAGTAAGATATGCAGAAGACAATGAGACAGTTTAAAAAAATGCTGCTTCTGACAGACATAGGTGAAAGGTCTAAGGAGGAGCCAAGGCCAAGAAGTCACCAGCAGCCACAGTCTTTCTCTCTGTGACTGGGGCTCACTGTGGG